TAACAAAATATTATAGAAAGCATGTTGTTCATCAGATCAAGATTTTACCCTGTGTCATTAACTTCTCTCTCCTTATAAAACTTGTTCCCCTCCATTATGGCCTTACTTTCTTTCCCTTACGCTGCATGGCCAAACCTCTTCACAAAACAGCTTTGCTTTGAGATTTCCATTTCTTCCCTAGGGGATCATTTTGGGACAACTGGACCAATGCTCCTATGACCTCCTAACAGCAAAATTCAATGTTTCCTTTTCAATGCTCCGGCTGCTCAAGCTGACACTCCTGACCCCTTTTCTACCTCTTGAAACTCTCTTCCCTCCCGCTCTGTGCCAGACTCTCCTGTCTCTCCATTTATACCTCTTAATTTCTATCTCGTGTCAGCTCCTCTTCCTATCCCTACCCTTAAATTTGTCATTCTCAACAACATAGTCATAGTACTCTATCTATGGAGTACTATAGCCTGCTCCATTAAATTTCAGCAGACGACTAAAGGAGATAGTTTTGCCCTACTGAGGGTTTTAAGCTATAGGTAAGAAAGTAAATTTAGTAGCCTGAAAACACTAAGGTTTTTAAAGCAAAGTAACTTTTTTAAAATGCTCCAAAGTCTGAAAAATAATATTTCTTTTATAAACAACTGTTCCTTTTTTTTGCAACTTGAAGGAAGTTGCATTTATTTTTAGTAAAAGCCAAAGTATTGTTTAGGATCAAAATTCCTCCATTTTTGATTTCTTACTGTATTTTATTCTAAAGCAGTACCAGCTAAGGTCCAAGGTTGTAGAAGACTGCCATCTAGTGGTAATTCATTCTGATGCACATACAGAAACACACCGCCTTCTCATATTTTAAAAAATACATTTGTTTAAAACAGTTCCAGGTTTTCTTTTTGTTTAATTCCTTTCTTGAGGACTACTGGCATAGTTACCAAACTTAATAATTCCACAGGAAAGCATGATAAAATACCGAGGAAGGTAGAAGACGAGAATTTTTGAGTTTTAAACTCAGATCAAGTAGAGGGAAGTCTTCAAATTAAAAGACTGATCTGCTCACTCCAGAAGGGTACACAATAGACAAACGCTAGAGACAGGCTTAGAAAATGGGCTTTCTTTTGACATAAACATATCCTGAGGTGACTTACTCCTAAATTCTTTACTTTTTATAATGTATTTACACAGTATTTGGAGGTAGAGAGCTCTCAGATTAAGAAAAAATAACTTTCTGACTCAATAACTCCACATTCTATCCTAAGCAAATAATAAAACATGGACAAATAATATGTTCAAAGATGTTCACTCCAGCAAACAAAACTTAATTTTAACAGCTTGATAATAACCCACTGAATCCACGCATCAAAAATTACTTAGTCATTCTTCTCTATTATTTATTTAGAGCACTTCTAATTTTTCTATATTATAAATAAATACACATGTGTATATACAAAAAGAAAGAAGAGAGAACGGAAAGAGAACAGAAATAAATAAATATATGGCAACTTGATACATTTCCATCTTTTGGATCATTTCCGAGTATTCACTCCCATAAGTTACATATCAGTATCCAAGAACATTTTCGTGGTTCTTAATAGTCAACCTGCCTAATAAGAGTTTTGTTTTCATTTTACATGGCCACAAGCAATGCAGGATGTACAGACTATTATCACCTCTCTAGCATTACATTTTATCTCCTGGCTAATTTTTTAAACAGTTTTATTGAGATATAATTTACATACCACCCCTTTAGAGTACATAACTCAATAGTTTTTAGTGTATATACAGAGCTATGTGACCATAGCTACAAACAAATTTGAAAACATTCCATCATCCCAAAAAGAAATCCATTAACAATAACTCCCCATTCCCCCTACCAACCCTCCCAATATGGCTAATTTTTACTAATTTTCCACCCC